TTAACTAAATAGTAAACTGTATCCTGTCATCAATGGAGTTTAATTGATCAAGCAACCCGTCACTCTCATCTCGTGTAACAAGTACAAACGTGTCGTCTGCATAGCGCCACCAAACATTTGGTGAGTTAATGTTGTTTGTTAACGCTCACTTACCTTGATAGCTCTATCGTGTAAGTAGTCTTCTAACCAGGTGAGCAGGGAACCGTTGATACCGTAGGCAGCAAGCTTTTGGAGGAGAAAGAAGTAATGGACCCTGTCGAATGTTTATAAATATCCAAGTAAATCACATCTATGAGGACTGCTTCATCAGCCGCACTGGTCCATGAGTCCCGAGTAACCAGCAAATTGTTGCCGTAAGATCCTCTGCGCCTGAAACAATGTTGGGTGTAGCTACGAAGGGTACTACCGATTTACAAGCCTATTCACCAAACGTACGCACGGTCTGGGCAGAAAAATACGAGGGCGATGCACGGAATAAATTGTACTGAATGAACCGTGGTTCTACAAAAATTTAAAATCAAAGATACAGAGGTGACTTACGAATAGGTGAATACACTGTCAAGCTGCGGTAAATAAATCCAGTTAACTTCGAACAGCAGTAAATAAATAAATAAATAAATAAATAAATTTTTATTCTCGAAAATGTGAGGCACACCTTTACAGGCATGATCATACTTAGCTAACATAGTGTGAACAAATTGTACAAAAGGACATGTTTAGCATAACAGTGTATGTAAGTATATGGGTGTATACACGTATGTAATTGTGTGGGAATGTAGCTTGTGTTTTTGAATGCGCCGCAGAATTTTTGACTGTTTGTTATCGTCAGGAATGTGGGAATAAGCGATTGATTTTCGTGGATTGGATAGCATTTTCCGAATGTCCACGGGCCAGTGACTTTAGTTTGTGGCGAGTCACATCCGCCACGTCGCAGTGTTGTTAAGCAGACATTTGTGGCTTTTTATAGGGAGAACGCTTGCCAGGCGAAAACCCACCACGTCCTGGAACACTGCCGCCGAACCATTTGCTGGAACGGGTTAAACCCGAACCACCCAGCTGGCACCACGAGGAGGTTGTTCGGCTAGCCAGCCTGGAATCAGTTCCGTAATGCTTGCAACAGCTGCTGGGGTAAAGTTGACGCTGCATAAGTCGACTACGTTTATTGGGAGTTGATAGGGCGAATGCTCGCTGATCTTTGTAGCTACCGATATGCATGTCCACTTCCCATAACCTCGTCCAAACTGCCTGCAGGAGACAGCTAGTCTTTGCTGTTGGAGACGGGGTGCACGTTCCTCGTGATCGTGTTAGGCTCAGAGAATGGTTCTATACATATGGTTTGTGCGTGGATTGGCCTACGACCTAACCACCGACCTGGGTGAGCTTGATTCACCAATTAAAGCGTACCTGTATTTGCTTGCGAAGTAGTGCGGCCCGGCTCCGTTGATAAAACATGGCTCCCACCCACGTACCTAATGGTTTGGTTCCTTCGGTTTGACATCGGATATGGGCTGTGGTGATGGAGCGGTGGGTGGTGCAGATCAAGCCTCCCATGTCCCCTCTGAAGGCGCAGGTGTTCTGTGGTTGTCCTTGTGAAGGCCGCGGTGAGAGGCAAACCCGGAACCGGATGCCGCCAACCAGCTTGCGTTGGAAATTCGCGGCGAAAGTTGACACATCTCTAAATAGCTTGCACTAGTCAAAGCGTCTTGAGTGAGTGAGTACAATCAATGTAACTGTGTTCCGAATGGTCGTAATGACTAAGAGAGACGTTGGCTCGAGAATTTGTCACAGATGTTGGCTCGAGATCACAGTTGCATTTCCCGAACTCTTTCTAAAATATAGACTGCCAAATGTAATAATTTGTGACACAGGTCTATATCGATCGGGATAGAATACTAAATTTTCTGGAGTGTGAAATCTTGGTTGATAACTTGAAAGAATGAAAGTTCTATTATTGTATGTGTCTCCCGTCGTCACTTATTTGACTATGGCATATCACAGAATCGTAATACTTAGAGAATCCACCAAGTCGCCGTGCAAATAACAAACCTGATCTACATCATGTTGACACTTTCTTCGGGAGGAGATTCTGAAGAGACTTAACCACTTGCCACCCAACTTCACATCCTATATTATTGTGCAGAGGGATTCCTCGGAACAGGTACGGAAGCCGCCTAACTGATAAGCAAAAGAGCTACCTATCAAGATTTTTACGAAGACGAAGCGGTAAGTCAGCGGTGAAGAGGCACTGCGATTTATTCTGTGAGCTAGTTGTTGTAATGGTTTGTCACGAGCCACGGTTTGTCAGGCGATGCATGCGACTCGAAGGTTAATTAATGTGGATGTAACTAAATGAACCAACACTTTTGCTGGTGTACACATTACAGCCGTGTCGTCTTACAGTACTCGGTTTGACCACTCTTACTATCCTTTCCCTGTTGAGTAAGAATGTACTAATTTCGGACGTTGATGTCTGTCTTTTCAGGCAGACGCACTTAACAAACGCACAACTCATGGTCATCATTGTTAAAATCGTAAACTGCCTCGGATAAGATGGGGATTGCTTGACACTGATGTGATCGCGTCATCTGGTAAAGCACTGGCAGTAAGTGCGCTGACGATTAATGTGCAGTAGACATGAAAAATAGCCGCGCTCTACATCTGTGCAAGTTAGTCGGCCCCCTCAATTCATGATGTCCATGACATTTTGGATTCATCTGGTGTATTCTTGTCCGCTTTTGCTTCCAGTAACCATTTACCACGATCAAGATGGACGCGTGACTGCCTGTGTGTTCTTTCTCGTCCACGAACCAATATGAAACGTGTGTGCGTGTGTGTCCGTGTGCGTTATTGCGGGGTGCCCATGTGACAGCTGGGCGAGAAAGCTGGGAGCCAACGCTCGCGCGTTTACCACCAATCGTGCTTGGGAAGGACCCTACGATCGTGTTACCAGGGCCCAACCGAAAGCTGATGAGATCGCGCGTCAGACACCAGGCGTGTTGTCAAGACCTGACCGGAAGCTGATGGAATCCCGCGTCAGCATCACGCGCGTTGCCATGCACCGGGTAGACGAGTGCTCGAGTAACACGGTGAAATGGACAGATGCAGCGGACAAGTATGGAGCGTGGGCTTAGAGCCAAATCCGCCTGGTAACACCGACATATAAATATGAGCGTTCTCTACCCTAATACAACTCTGGTCTGCTGACTATTCTTCTGTCTTCGTTCCGGTCGGGTTTGCCAAGGCGTCAATCAGAGCACGCGTAAGGGCGCAGATTTAGCAACAGGCGTGAATCAACCAGGCGAGAGAGGGCACAGCGTTATAACAACTTGTAACAGTTGTAACTATTCACCATCATCTTGTGTCCAAGGTGAAGAGGGAATTGCACTTTTAGCCCCACACATGAATGCACGTGCGGCTGCGTTTGCTCAAATCATACTTTCGGCCTGATTAATGGTCTTGTTGGTGTCCACCTTGTCTGCTGAGAGTACAGTGATTGGCTGTGCGCGATTAATCAGTGGCAAAGAACTGTCTCCGCTATGTCGTCGCTGCCTAAATCAAGCAGATGCAATCGAGTCTAAAGCAAGCGTATTTGGATTCAGAATGGATACTTTTGATTTGTTATCCGCCCATTTATTCCATTCAGGTACTGCTGGAAATAGGAAAACAACTACTGATTTGCACACGATTTGAGGTTGAGAAAAACAACGGGTGGCTAAAACTATTGGGTAAACAACTCAACCACTTACCTTGGCGGCACAACGCCTGCATTTCGGTTAGCTGCAAGCGTACCTATGAGCTCAAGGGAGACGAAACAACTTCGCATCGGCTACTATCTGGGGATAATATGGTGATATTGGTAGGGGTAGAGAAAGGATGAGGGTTTTTGTTGCGCTAAGCTATACTGATCGGTCCCCGGAAAATTCAGGGATCGCATATCACTCCAGCAATTGCGGGTGATTAATTGAAGCGAAATTCCTCAAAAACACAGTCAGACAATCGTCAAATGTTTGAGAATGCACTGTACTGCCTTGTAATTATTTCGGGAATGGTCAGTAGTACGCATTTCATCTAGCCCTTCTTGTGCTGGGATAAGCAATTTGATTGGTACCGATCTGCTTTCTCCACAGGGTGTTAGAGGGAATGGCAACGTCCGACTCGCTAAAGTTACTATTCAGTTCATTAAGGATACTAACGATCAGTGGACAGGGCATCCGCCTCATTGGGAAACGTGAATACCAATCCTAAGCCGCCAATTCTTTTAGGTATTGCTAAGCAGTTTGCTCTGCAAACGGGTTACTGGTGAGTATTTTGAGGAGGTGAATGGAATGAGTCTATACATTTTTCCGTTTGATGGCATCCATAGTACAATTGAATTGCTCCCTAAGCCTATGATTTCCATTTGAAAGCCGATTGAAGATAATCATTAATGCAGGTGCTTTGCATCAGGTATCATTTTGAGGCACCAAGCGCGCGCAGTAAGCTTGGTTTTGAGCTAACGCAAAGCAGCCAATAACGGTAGACTTAACAACCCTTGCATGAATATATGAGTTGGTGGTGTGTGGTGCTGACGCATGGGTGGTCTAGCTTGCATTCAGCAACGGTGCCTAATCTGAAGCTAGTTCCACGCAGCTTAGGGGCACAATGTTGTCCAAACATGTGGTGCGGCTGGGTATAAGTGGACTACAATGTACGAAGGGCAAACAGTGGGAGGGGAGCTGCGAACACGGTAATGCGACACCCCATTAGCGGTCTTATGGCTAGTTTTGCACAGGCGCCGCCCAAGGTTTCCGACGACCTGCCAACGCTAGGGCTACGACGGTACTGTGTCCGGATAGCGAGTCAATCAGACGTGTATGGCTGCGCATGACCAGGGTCACTGTGACGGCTTGTGAGCACCGGTCTGTTGAGAGAGCTAGTGCCGAAATACGACAGGAACAATTTTGTTACAAGGCGTGTAGACCTTGCTTTGTTACAGCAGGCGTCGCTTACCGTCATAGTGGATGCAGTACACCGACTTGCTGGTCCCTGAATCAAATGAGATACTGTGTCCGGGCTGTCGGAATTTTGCATCGGCTGAGCTCTACACACACATGCATGGGCGGACTGGCGCAGACCCAACGAGGGCGACTGTCACGCATCAACTGAATTCGTATTCCGTACTCAGTTATGTGGTATGTTCGCCCATGGGAAAAACTGCAACGTTGCTTAGTATTTTGTCTGGCCATTTTCCCGGCTGTTCTCCAGCAAACGTACTTGGCGAACACAGCATATCGGCGAGCAACATTACCTTTTTATCTTACGGTAGTTGTAACCACAAATCCCATAATTCCGCGTGGTCGATAACCCTTAATTCCTTATCTAACGGCCTGTGTACGCGTAGTCCACAATTACAGATGGCAGTATAATGGCATACAACGGTTCAAATAGATAGCTCTTCACATATCCCGGAGGATAGTCGCAATAAACATAGAAAAATTAAGTATTGAACGTAACAATGAAAAGGAGTGTAATTTGGTAGTTTAGCAGAGAGATTTGCATGATAACTTGTATACATTTATTTCGTTGCAACTAAGCGCTCACCATAAGTTACACCTTCTGCACGAAACGGGAAATACGAGAACTTAATTGTATACATGAAATATTGTCATATTGTCCCATCACGCTGGGAGAGATAGCAAAGCTTGAGCGCGTGCAGCATGTAGCCACTAGGCTGATTCCCAACTTACGAGGTATGCCATTTGAAGACCGATGTAAGAAACTAGGGCTGTACACCCTAGCATATCGTCGGCTGAGGGTTGACCTCAACATGACGCACCGGATATTACATCTGAGTGATTACCCCATGTTGAGACAACTGCTTCATCTGCGCACACCAAGCAGCACGCGAAGACACCGGTACAAACTTATCGTACCGCAGTTGAAGCGCGTAGCTCACCAACTCTGTTTCGAACGAAGAGTGGTGAATACTTGGAACAACCTGCCACAACCGGTAATAGAGGCGAATTCAGTGGACGAATTCAAGAAGCTTCTAGACAAACACTTTGCAGAGGCAAAATATAGAGAGCGGAACAAAATTAATACGTCAATGCCCAAGAGCGACAATTGATGCAGCTACCCAGAGTATGCTCTACTCGCTGCTTCAAATCAGTATCAGTATCAATACCCTATATAATTCTAAAAAAGACTATCAAAAGACGAAAGTTCCGCAATAAAACTGTTAGGACGACCAACCAGCGCTCCAGCAGGTTCGGTGTGTCCGGATAGGAAGAGAGTCACAGGTGCATAACTGCGAATGATCGGGGTCTGTGGTGCAAGACGTTATGATGTGCTTGTGAATAAAGCGACAAAAGTGGTCTACGCAACTTACTACTGAAAGCTGGGTTAACAGGTGGCCACACGAGTAAGAGGTAAACATTATGGACAGCACTCTGCTGATAGTGTTAATGCCGGGACACGACTGTGACATTCTTGTTTTCAGATGTGTATATAGCAAAACCGTCCAAACAGACACCCCAGTAGAGCCGAATGTCGGCTGGCTTTTTCGCTAGCACCTCAGCTTGCTTCGGGCATTCATGATTGTCTTGCACGAGCCTCAATTTATCACTTGCATAAAAACCTCGATATTGGCAGGTGCTCCGGTGGCTTATGCTCATGGTTTCGCACTTAGCAGCGTTAAACTCACCAATGTTCTGGGTCGACCACTATTAAAGGCTTTTGGTTGTCTGCACGTTTGATTGCTCACCGTATGTTGAGGTCCTCCGCAGAGTCCAAACTGCAACGACAAAACTTCCACAAGTTCGTTCATGATCGCAAGCAATAAGCGTAGACCTGGTACCGAGCCCTTTGGTAAGCCACAGTGAACAGCTATTATGTCAGACAAGGTGCCACGAAACCGAATGTTCAAGATTGCAATTGCATATTTCATTGCTTTCAGGAGTATTTGCAATTGCTGCCCCTAGGGATCAACAAGCTGGATATATGGTGGTCTTGAAGTGAACATAAGCCACCCTGCTTGTAAACTTGCCCATGCGATACTCTGGAAATCAGTTGTCTGTATACCTTGGCAGAACGTAATTTGCTGGTGTCTTGAGGAAATAATGATGATAACAGGGTATATTTCTCGTCGTACCGAGAAAGCGCGTCCATGAAGGGGCGGACCATAGCTACATTGCAACATGCTCATTAGTGCTAGGCTGTCAATGTTTTAGGAATTTACAGGGTTAAAATAGGGATGTTTTTTTGAATATTTATCACTTGGAACTTCTGTCGCCGCGTGCTACCAGTTCGCGATCATTCTCGCTTGGTGGTTTTCGGTACAGCTTGATGGTGCCATGATGGCGGCGGTTTGACGATGGGGGTGTGTGTGCAGGGAGCATGAAAAGGAGGAAACAGCTACATTCACCAATCATAAATAGGTAACACATTATCTTACTTAATAGACTAGAGTAATACAGTGGGAGCTATTTGTGCGTAGCAAGTTAGAGATTTGCGAACATAAGGAAAAGGCTATATTAACGTAAATTTAGTGGCCCATCAAACCCAAGTTGCTTTATCAGAATACTAAAGGCAGTATTCACAACGTAGGGAGCTAAGACAGCCTAGGGTCTAGACATTGGTTAGTCTACTAATGGAGTTGAACTAATTAATTTGTGGTTCGGGTTACCAGATGGCTGAGATGCTGGGTGAGCTCAGTTGCGTTCTTTTCAGCCTTTACTTGTAGGTGGATATTTATGGCATGTTTACTATGCACCGGAAAGGTAATGTTGACAAGGGAGTAGACAAAGAAATAAACGCATATTCACTACAAAGTCAAGGAGTATTAAGTGGCTCGTAGTCCTGTAGAAAATGCTAAAGACAGTATGATCAGAAAAGTGTGAAATAATTATTCGATTATTGGTGTAGAGATATAGAGGTAATGCACCACAACTAAGAGCGAGGCCATGGTATAAGGAATCAGTTAATGAGAAATGTCGGTAAGACAGTACGACGGTAGAGATGATGTAACTAGGAACCAGGAGCAGAACAGCTTCAGGGCAGAATGAAGTAGCGTAAGAAAGAACAAGTGAAGTAATGCGGTCATTCGTGGAACCGTCTCCAGGGGACCTAGTTCTATGCGGGTAGTGCTTCGAGAGGTTTCACCCGCAGCTCCACGTCTCACTCGATCATGTATCGGTGTGGTTTAAAAGCACGCTGGTCGCTCCCGATTTTGTTCATCATTTGTGCAATTGCTTATTTTCTGGTGAGCTAGTTACTCAAACCAGTCAGCCTTTTGTTATCCATAGCTTTTTCGCGTGCATGATGACCGGGATCATTGGTTGGCATCATATACCAGTAATTGTGCGCTCAGCAGTTCAGATTTGATTGCATTTTTAAACTTCAGCACACTTTTGTATTCACCAGTGGGTCTTATGACGTTGGTACACCTGTTGCTTAGAAGCTTTAAACATTCACCTCAGGAGATGGGCCCACTCGTGACCAACTGAATAACAGAAGAATAGGGTGAAATAGTTAAATCGGGGTTTGAAATGTCAAAGATAAGTAGCCACACAGCATGTCTCGCGACACTGTGGGATGCCATATGATTGGGTGTGATAAAATATTGTAGGAGTTTAGGATAACAGGTAGCGTTATTAATGAGTTGGCGTCTCCTTCCAATATGTACTAGGTAATATAAATTATCCGGATGCCATAGGACAGTAGAATATTCACAATATACAAAGGAGAGATAAAGCAAGTGATACACTTTTTTGTTTTTCCACCTGCAGGTGGGAAGTAAACAGTGGCATTTTCGGTCATAAAGTTAATGTATTCTGGAGTGTGGTGAACTTGCATTATTAGTCATATATTGTTTGGATTAGATGTAGGTAACACATCTGTAGACACTTAAAGACCGAATGTTTTCATTATGTTCTGCATGGCGAGAAAACTCCCCAAGTCTATTTTAAATTTGGTTAAGTTCACACTTTCCCGTACTTTCCATAGTAGCTGATTCCATATGTGAGTATACCTTACCAGGAAGAAATTGGAGTGGATCCCATGTTCCTCCTTTTACGGGTGTTGGTTAACCCCTATTTCCTGTGGATAGTTTGAGAAATTATGTAAGGTAAGATCTACTCCGGTCGTATGCACCAGGTAATGTATAATGTTGTAAAAGAAAACCAGATTATTCCTCAGGCGGCGCAGCCATATAGGGTAAAGTATAAGGTAAAGACACCGGCCTTCATTGTTATACATAAATAAATGAATAAATGTTTTATTCCTCAGCAGTGCGAGGCACAGATCAATTGGGTGGTCTTATCAACATGTACAACGTGATCGCATAATATAGTTAATTATTCGTCTTTTGATCAGTGGTTCCCTTATGGGTTTTTGAAGTGATTAGCAGTTTGGAAAAAGTAGAGAGATAAAGAAACTGGGAACAATAATAAATGTGAATTTCATGGAAAGTTCAAGTAAAGTAATACGGCCATCCATTGAACTGTCCCCAGGGGACTTGCTTCCATGCAGTATATTTCCACGATGGGTTTCACCCGTACTTACATGTTCCAATTGGCTCTATGCCGGTGTGGCAAAATAGTAAATAAGCCATCAGACTGGGTATCAACTGTCATTTTCTAGGGCTGTTTTATGCATACATTATAGGCAATGAAGCCTCAGTCCGTTCTGTCATGCGGATCAGTCAAGTGTGACACTTTTTTGTTTTAAGGCAGCGAGTCAGTAGTAATGTGATTTGCATGGGTATACTTTTTATTTTGGAAGCTGTAATCCGTCATTACAAGAGATCAGCCCAGTCATGACCAACGGTGAAACAAAGAAGAAGGTAAAGTATGAGGAATTTTAAAACAGAATGATGAATACAAACGCTTGCCGATAGGCCAATCACAATTTGACGGAAAATCTTGGCGAGTGACGACGATGGTACAGAGACATCAGATTGAAAGGCGTAGTACATCTAGGAACTAGTGTGTCAAAGGAGAAAACAGAATTAGTTAGACGGATTGATAGGAGTAAGATCGTTCTCAAATATATACTCAAGAAGGCAACTATATTCAGGTAATCTTATATTATTGAAACGAATAGAGGATATGGTGACTTTCAAATGTATCCAGGACCTTTCTCATACAAATCATCTAGAGTCACCGTTTGGCTTAGTGTTAACCAGATATTTGCAACAGTCATGTGGATATTAATCATGCGTCTGAATTGTGGGTAGGTAGTGCAATTTCTAACACTCGATAGAAGTTTGTTCCATATTAACGCATATTTTCCGGCAAAAAATTTGAGCGGAGCTTTGTACGAGACTTTGGTATTTTTAGCGTGCGCTCTCTGTTTCTTTTTTTCATAGCGCATACGAGTCTGAAAATTGAGTTGTGACTGAGCAGTGAAGCTTAACCCCAAT